CAAGCTTCCGTGGACCCAGGCGGCGGGACCCCAGAGCCGAGCCGAGCCGAGGCCGTGGAGGGCAGGTAAGCTCTGGGCACTCCGCGGGTGACTTCCAGCAAGGCGCCCGGGGCCTCCTCGGGGCTCGCCGTTCCCTCCGTGGGCTCCGAAGGCTGCGGGCGAGGGGCTCGGGTCTCGGACGGGCTGCGTCAGGAGGCGCCGCGTTCCGCAGACGACAGCGTCTCCAAAAGTCGCTCGCAACCGGTGTGCACCGCGCGCCCCGACAGACAGCGCCTTTGGAGACCTGAAGGCGATCCTGAGAGCTGACAGAGATGTGCACGGGGGGATGCGGGGTTGACCCGAGCTCCCGTGGCCCCTGGCCCGGCCCTGGCCCCGCAAGTGGAGCGCCGTGTCCCGCGGCAGCGCCCTGCTCGGGGATCGCGGGAAGGGGCGCCGGCGCCGGCACCGGGCGCAGCTGTTGTGACTGATCCCTGCTGCTGATCCAGGCGCGGGGCAGGGTGAAGCGGGCCTGGGCCGTGTGGCCCCAGGTGCGATCCGGGTGATTTTCTCAACCAGTGCTCCATGGTGTAGTGTTTTATCTTTGATTTTGAAGGTGAGAGTAGGGGCAGAGAGCTGTGCTTCCAGGGACAGACCCACAGCTTATGAGCCAGCTGTGTTTCTCTAAGAGACCAGGTTTTGCTTTCTTTACCCAAACTTGGCCTCTGAGGCCACTGCTCCAGGAGTGGGTCAGCTCACCCCAAATGCTGGGTGTGGGCTGCCCTGGCAGGTGGCCAGACGGGACTGCAAGGGCCCTTAGTCAGAGCAAAAACTCTGGAATTTGCCACCTTTACAGATCCAGCCCCTCCAACTGCACCCCATGGCAGGCCAACCCCACCCACTCCCCAGAGGAGGCAGCTCCTTGGCCTGGTTTCTCATACATCCCTGGAATGCACCACTTCTCTGTGGCTCCTCCACCTCTGGTGACAAACCCAAGTTGTGAGTTTTTGTTCAAACTTGGATACAGTGAAAAACACCCCCATTAAGCTGCCATCCTATTAGGCTTCTGCTTCAAGCACTGTGTGTGCGCGTGCGTGCATGCATGTGAGTGAGCACATGTGCACCCCCCCATGTGTGAACTGTTGCAACAATGTTGGTGTGTCCAAATGACAGAAGTCAAAGTTGAAGCCACCCTTGGCCCGGAGGGCCCAGCTTGCTCATGGCTGTTACTTTCTTCTATTCCCCCTGATGGCGTTACCCAGGGTTTATGGAAGTGATTTGGAAATGAGCTCCCTGGTAAAGTTGCTAAGTATAGGAGCTCACAGTCCCTCGGGTAAATGTTGACATGCTGCTCTTATCTCTGCGACTCTTCCAGGGGGGGCTGGTGAGCCACCGGGCCACAGGCGTTCCTTGAAGAAACTGTTATGATCATTGTGTTAACTTTTAATTGCTGTGGCTGCTTTTGGTTATCGTGGAAAGACTGGGTGTGCACTCTGTAAAGACTTACTGTTGAGTGCTATTTAAAGATTGTAAGTTACTCCCTGCAATGTGGGGCTCGGCGGAGGTAACCATTTGCATTATTGTTAAAAGCAAAACTAGAGATTGCACAAGCACTGCGCTTTTGTTGGACTAGAGAGGAGAGCCAGGGGAAGGTGGCAAAGCAGATGTCTGTCCTGAGGTCTCCACAGCCTGTGTCCCTCAGCCCTCAGGAGAAATAACCCACCTCCCCTCATCCTCAGTCCTGGCTGTGTCTTCTTAGCTGCTTGGAATGTATGTGTTCTGCCCCAAAGAAATGACTATAAATGCTTTGGGTCTCTGCTCTGGCCACTGGACACCTCCGCAGTTGTGGCTCCTAATTCGTCACATTCCTGTGTGTTTGTTTTTCATGCCAGCTGAAGACCGAGAGGGAGGGCGCGCAGAACCCTAGATCCCATCCAGTCTGCCCATGAGGAGAAGCAAATGCCCGCTGGGACTGATGCCTTCCGCCGTGGCCCCGGCTAAGGAGCCCAATGCAATGTGCCCGAAGGCGGTGGAACTTGTCCTGGTCAAGGAACAGAATGGGGTGCAGCTCACAAACTCCACCCTCGTCAACTCCCCACAGACCCCCGTGGAGACCCAGGAACGGGAGACGTGGAGCAAAAAGATAGACTTTCTCCTCTCGGTGATCGGCTTTGCGGTGGACCTGGCCAACGTCTGGCGATTTCCTTACTTGTGCTACAAAAACGGCGGGGGTGAGTCCCCGCCTGCCCTCCCTGTGCTCTCCTGCTGGGCTAGAGTCCAGGGCAATGGAAGCAGGGTTTCCGAGAAACGCACACACTCTGGCAACATGACTGTTTCGTAACTTAGCGTTAGCCAGGCGCAGAATCCCCAGGTGTGTGTTGCAGAAACAGAAGTAGAGTTCAGAACAATCTCACTTCATGTCAGGACTTCACAGTTGAGGGCAATGAAGGCAGGATCACTTCCCAAAATTCAAGTTGAGGAGCCAGTTAAGTTGGAACTCATGCCTACCCTCCTGGTGCTTCCTTTCCCTGCTGGCCTCCCTGATTCACTGGCCACACTACACTGCACAGATGGAGGGCCTGGGAAGAGTGTCCTGGGAGGCCTTCCAGTAGGCTGGCAGTACTCTGCCCAGGTTGAGGGAAGAAGACTGAGGGCTTGGCAGTGCATTAACTTGTCCAAGGATGGACAGGGCTGTGGGGCCTCCCTGCCTCCCTCCCCATCCCAGGAAGAGAACCCTGGCAAAACTGCCTCCCATTCAAGGAAGAGCTTTAGGAAGCAGAGCCACAGGGCCCTGAACTCTGTGCTTGGGGCAGGATGTAGCTCCAAGAGGAGCAAGGCGCCTACCTGAAGGGACTGCAGCCCCCTCTTGGGGCCGGGGGAGGGGGGTAGGTGACTCCATAACCTGGGGCTGGGACATTGGGGATTCTGTAGGGATGGGCTTAGTTTGAAAGCTTTAGAAGGACTTGGAGCACTAATGGCAGTGAGGCTAGGTATGGAGGGAGGAGACTCATCCGGCCCAACCTGTGGCTTCCCTTTGGAGGGTGGCCAGGCAGAGAGCTTCAGGAGAAACAGGGACAGAGGCTGGGGTCAGGGCCAAGATGTGAGTGGTTGGTGGAGATGGCTGAGCCCTTGAGGCCCTCAGTGACCATGCTGTCATGTCCCACAGGCGCCTTCCTGGTCCCCTACCTGCTCTTCATGGTCATTGCAGGGATGCCGCTCTTCTACATGGAACTGGCCCTCGGGCAGTTCAACAGGGAGGGAGCTGCCGGCGTCTGGAAGATCTGCCCTATACTCAAAGGTAATGGCGTGGCACGGACCAGGGCTGTGGCTTCAGCGCTTTCAGGCCAAGCCCGCCCAGGTCGTGTGCACGCTGTACTGCTTTGCTAGGTACTTGTGCACATGAACACACCATCTGAATTTTGGTCCTACACTAAAGACTTGTAACACTAATTTGAGAGCATATTTCCTTGCTTTGAGGTGAGGCCACCCTGCAATTCAATTCATTAGCAGCATTATTTTGTCAAAGAGTTAAAATGATAAATAAAACTATCCATCAGCTACCTATCGTCTATCATCTATCATCTATTATATATCTATCTACATCATCTATGTATCCACCCGTCAATCTATCTGTCTATCTAGCTATCATCTACCTATCCATCCATCTATCTATGTATCATCCATCAACCATCAATCATCTATCAACCACCTTCCATCTATCTACCTACCTACCTACCTATTTATCATCTGTGTATAATATCTATCTATCTATCTATCATCTATCTATCTATCTATCTATCTATCTATCTATCTATCTATCATCTATCATCTATTAAAAATCAACTGAACATAAAATCAGGAGGCTTTGGCTAGGAATAAATGATAAATATTTATTCAAGAGTCTTAGGGTTTACAAGTTAGAAACACAACTAGGCAATAGGCAGAGAGTTCTGAAGAAGGAAACCTGAGGGTTCTTATAGTAGGAAGCACACTCTTGAGAAAAATCAGGCCTGCACTCTTAGTCTCTGGATCCGTCTGAGATGGCAATCCTCTAGATGACCAGTGGTCTGGATACTGGATGTCAGGTGGTCTGGACACCTTCCTGTAATCCTTTGGGGGTAATCATGGTTTTTAGGAGGTTTGATGTATATCCAGGCATTGATACAGGACTGGAAAGTTCAAAGGTTTAAGTTCCCAGGCTTCTTAGAACAAGAACAGAATTATTTCTCATGCCTTGATCTACATGACTTTAGTAATTTAGCTGCTCAACTATTTACCTACCTATGTATCATCTATCTATCATAGCTACCTATTATCTATTATTTACCTATAATCTATCTAACTGTCTAGTTATTCATGCTGAGTCTTGGTGACTAACCCTCCCACAGTAACCTCGATCCATCCTCCTGAGAGTCCTGGGGAGGGCACACGCTGTGTTGTCTCCCTCTTGGACATGTAGGCACTGAGATTAGAGGGCTTGAGTAACTGGCCCTTGTCACTCTTCTGACTCCCCATTGGGCCAACAGGAGCTTATGGCTCAGGAGGATTCAAGGGTTTCCTCAAAGAGACAGGAGAAGGTGCCTGGTTCAGACAGCTGGTTTCATTTTTCAAAAGTGGCTATTTAAAGATCAGGCTTTGGATTTTCTTAAACATTCTTGAAAAGTTGGTGTTTTGAGGAGAACAGGAGTGCCATTGTCTCTCCAAGGTTGCCGTGTGGGTGGGTCAGTGGGTGTGTGCTCAGATAGAAACTGATCTGGTGTCCGGAGTGAGGACATCGCACAGCTGCCGAGGTCAGTCTCCATGGCGGAAATGCTGAGGCCAACGGGCATGGAGAGCTCCTCCAGGCACTATGTTTTTCCAGCTTCGTGGTCTGCTAGGTGAATCTTAAGATGGAACTACAGAGAGATTTGGACACCTCTGGGTTCAGGTGCCAGGTGCTAGGTGTTCCCTTGTGCAGTTTGCACCCAGAAGTCAAAGATCAAATGAGTTGCCTGCGACTCGCCTCTGGCACCGTCATTAATTCCCCAGTGGAGAAATGTGCAGGGACCTGAAGACACCAGGCACCTATTAGTGACAGATGCAGGTGTCAACTTGGACATTTCAGCGTCTGTGTACTGGCAAAATGTTGGTGCCACTGAGGGCAGTGAACCACAGCTAACAGACAAGACACACATGAGTTAATCGTGTTCTCCCAGGCTCTGCTGGGCAGCGCTAACGTGTCACGCGGTCGTGCACTGCAATGAGCTTTCGCTGTGGTCAGTATTTATAGAGCATTCAAGTGCCGAGTCGGGAATTAAGCATGTCTGTCCTCGAGTGACCATCTGGGGAAGTGCTGAGGAAGGATGCCTCCAGCTGTGACCCAGGCTGTGGTGATGCCAGTTTGTATCTCTGGATTTCCAAGAAGCGCTCCCTTCCAGTTCAAAGTATGTCTGTCATAAGTTTCTTACGGGACACAACTCTGCGTCCCACCTCCCACCAGGGAGTCTAACCCTGAGTCAAAGTAAATCTGTGAGGGACTGCAGAAGAGGAAAGGAACCGTGGCCCCCCGGGGCTGGCGCCCACAGGGGAAAGCTGATTCCCAGCTGTTTCCTGCCACAAAGGGTTTTCTCCAACAAAGCTGCCAAAGCGATTTGTTTTATTGCAGCTTATAAAATGTCAATAAATACTTTCCAAGGATTTCAAAGTGCTGCTGAATCCTAATGAATTGGGGTGGATATGGGATATATGACTTCAGCACCCCATTCTGGAGAAGCTGAGACCACAGATGGGGGCATTTTGCCACATCCCAGCAATATCAGGACCTGGAGAAGTCGGCAGACATCGCCCACTTCGTGAACTGACTCCGAGTCCCAGCCTCACAGTCATGCTCTGGCAGCTCATGGCAGCTTTTTCCTAGTTTTGGAAACTTATCTGTGTGGAGGGCTGATCTGGGGCCAAGTGAGGCCACAGGAAGAAGCGTTATGTGCCCCTGTGGACAGAATCTCCGTTGTTCCCGGTCACCCATCTCATAACCTGAGATTGAGGGAACCACAGAGAGTCAGCTATTGAGCTGGGAATCTGTGCAGTCAGCACAGGGCTGTGCTTGTCGAAGAGATAAACAAATCCATGCAAGAACACTAGACTTTCATGTTTAGAGAAGAGATACCTTGAATTGTTTAATGCCATCCAAGCTACAATCGCCTGCAGGTGACTTCCTGCATGTTCAGGTTCTATCTTATCCATACAATGCCCATTTGATAGGAGATGGTCATTGCTCCTTAAATTAGGTGAGGCAAACCATGCTTTTCTGGATACCCTGACACGTGCGCCTTCTCTTTTCTTTTTTGTCTTTTAAAAAAATCAATTAATAAAATTGCCTGTATTTTCATGTGTCACGACGTAGGGATAACACACAGTAAATGACAACATCAGTTAAAATGCCCCAAGTAAGCATTATGGAACTAAAAGGTTATCCAGTCCTTCAGGGGCAGGTGCAGGCCCCTGTGAAAGCTTTCTCCTGTGTTTCCTAGCCTTCCCTCTCTTACCTGGGTGCTGCTCCTGGCACCTAACTAGCACTGAGCTGTACCTGAGAAAGTCAGGTGGTGAAGTCCACAGTGAGGATGAGCTGCCTCAGCAGCTGTGCCTCATCCTCAGTTCCCTGTACCACCTGTCCGGAGTCCCACAGGGTGGGCATGTGGCTGGAGAGGTGGCAGGTGGCCTTCAGCATCCAAATGTGCCATCACAGGGTCCTGAGAGGAGGGGTCTCAGAACCATCCTTGTCTCCCCGTTCCTCTCTGTGCCCCCCTCCATCATATTAGCATACATGTGCTTGAACACGCACACACATACACACACACCATGCAGATAGTAAAGACACCCACATCGACAGAGGAGGAATTCTCTCTAGTTTACTTCAGAAAAATCCACCCATGAGTCTCAAGGACTGAAAAACTGATCCACCAGGGAGCCTTTTCTCCAGCTGGTATTCCTGGAATTAGTATTTGTTTATGACACTCTCGTCTAAGCCAGCTTTTGTGGACACTTTGGGGTGAGCTGGGTTTGGGGGATTCTGCAGAAGGGGAATGGTGGAGGAGGGTGACTGTCGTGATCTCTTGGGGCCTGAGAATGCTCCTTTTCAGGTTGTCTGGCTAACTGCCAAAGACACCCTCACTTTACATATGCCATAGAAACATTGCCACTCTATTGAATATAAAACAATTTATGGTATTTTGTGGTCAGTAATATTTTAGTATGATTTATCAAACTTTTCCTCTTTCTAAAAAGAATTTAAGGTTGCTTAAAATAAAACAAAATGCACACGAGGTTAATATAAAAATCCTAAGAGAAATAGAAATTTAAGAAAATTGACATTAAAAGCTATGATTAAAATTCGCATTTAGCCCTGAGCTTCATGGGAGTCAGACAATAGAGGAACATATTTTCATTAATATTTTCACTGGGTCCAGCTGGTGTGGCTCAGTGGTTGAGCATCAACCCCTGAACCAGGAGGTCAGGGTTTGATTCCCAGTCAGGGCATATGCCTGGGTTTTGGGCTCAATCCCCAGCAGGGGGTGTGCAGGAGGCAGCCAATCAATTGGAAATATTAGAGGGAACTGAGCCTGCCATCTCCTTAGCAAAGACAGTTTCTCATGGCGAGAAATGATGAAAGAAGTATATCTGGTGTAGCTTCACTCAGATGATATGATGAGGTGATGAACAGTAATTAGAAGAACATTCTTATAGTAAGTGAGAAGTGGATTTCATGTGGCTTGGTCTTAAGTGACACTATGGAGGAACTTGGGGAAGTTCGAGTTGGTGAGGAGTTACATGTCAGTGTCCCAGGCCTGTGGCTCTCTAAGGCTCTGCTGTCCTGAAGGACAGAACTTGTGACCAAGCAAATAGCTGACCCTTGCAACCATCTTCCTAGGGAATCATTTCCATCACTCGGGCATTTGGGGCCCAAGCTGTGCTCTCAGGTGAGGCAGAGCTCCGGTGCTGGTGTGCTGTGTCACTGATGGAGCAAGCCCGTGTGCCCCTGCGGTGACCTTGTCACTCTGTTGTGAAAGTAGAGAAACCTGGCCTGCCCAGATGGAGGGTTATCCACACAGCAATGGGTTCCAGAAGGGCCAAAGGCAAAGTCAGTTCTTCCTTCAGATACTGGATCTGGATCTGCTCTAGTGTTTGATCAAGTCTCCTTTGAGTTCCCAAAGTTTCAGACTGAGGATTTGGTATGCAAGTTTTTAACCTTAAAAAATATTTCAAGCCAGACATCCTAGTCGGTCCACTGCTGGGGAAAACCTTCTGTGATGTGCTTCATGACAGCATGGTTTCCTGACAGTGTGGTTTCCTGACCAACAGGAGGAGGCATTCTAACCGCTAAACCCATCTTCCCACCAGTCAGGGTGACAAAACTCCAAAGACTGCTCACCACTTCCTTCTGCTGTAGTTCACTAGGAGCTAGGAACCCCTCATAATTGATCTCAAACTCCAGGTTTTATGATCCTGGAAAGGGTATTCTGAAAGGCCCTGGGTAGTCATGTATGACTCTGGGAAACCCTAGATAGTCATGCATGGTCCTGGGTGGCCTTAGGTGGCCCTAGGTAGCTATGAATGAACCCAGATGACCCTGTTTGCCCTGGGTAGTCTTTTTTTTTTTTTTTTTTAAATATATCTTTATTGTTGAAAGTATTACAGGTGTCCCATTTTTCCCCCCAATTGACCCCCTCCACCTCACTCCCAACCCCTCTCCAGGCCTTCACCCCATTATTGACTGTGTCCATGGGTTATGCATATATATGCATATAACTTCTTTGGTTAATCTCTTCCCACCCTCCACCCCCCTTTTCTCTTTCCTCTGAAATATGATCGTCTGTTGCCTGCGTGAATGTCTCTGGATCTATTTAGTTCTCAGATTGTTTTTTTCATTAGCTTCTTGTTAAAGAAGACCCTTCAACATTTCCTGTAGTGCTGGTCTGGTGGTGATGAACTCCTTTAGCTTTTTCTTATCTGTGCAACTCTTCATCTGACCTTTAGTTCTAAATGATAGCTTTGCTGAGTAGAGCAATCTTGGTTGTAGTTCCATGTTTTTCATCACTTTGAATATTTCTTGCCACTCCCTTCTGGCCTGCAAAGTTTCTGTTGAGAAATCAGCTGACAGTCATATGGGTGCTCCCTTGTAGGTAAATAATTGCTTTTCTCTTGCAAACAAAATTCTGAACTCTGTATCTGTTAGCTTGCTTGGATCTATTTCATTTAGTTCCTCTTCTAGAGATTTCTTCTGTTCTTTCCTTTGTGACATGTTTCTTTGCCTCCGCATTTTGGCTGCTTCCAGGTGTTTGTTTCTATGTATTGGGTAGAGCTGCTACGTTTCCTGGAATTTGTAGAGTGGCTTTGTGTAGTAGGTGTCCTGTAGGGTCCAGTGGCTCAGCCTCCCCATTTTCCTGAGCTGGGCCTGCTAGGTGCTCCCCTGTGTGGGCTGTGTGCACTGTCCTATTGTAGTTGAGCCTGGGTTGCTGTTGGTGTCACTGGGAGAAATTGATCCCCAAGCCAATCAGCTATGAGGACCCACTGCAACTACAGCCAAAGAGCTGCTGTGCTGGAGACACTGCTATGGAGCAGGATTTACTTTAGTGGGGCTTTGGTGTTCACAGAGTGCACTCCTTGAGTGTGTCACTCATGAATGTGGAAGGGCTGTAATCCAGCGTGGTCGAGCCTGACCACCAGGTGCACTGTCTTTGGGGCCTCCCGGGAGGTGCAAAGTCAGCCTCTGAATGTGCCTTGCCCAGGGCCACCCAGCATGAGCTACACAGCAAACCGTAGTTGGCTGCTACTTGTGCTGGGCTTGGAGGTGCCCAGGAGAGGCCAAGCTATGAGCCAGTGCAGGCTGCTGCTAGTGCCAGGCTTGGGGCCACTTATCAAGCCGTATGGGGCCCGCTGCTGCTGTTTGAGAGGTTTTAGGAAAGTCCTAAGCGTGAGGCTGGAGAGGCCACTTGCACAGAAAAGCCCTGGAAATGGCCTGGATGAGCTGCAGGTGGGGAGGGGCGGGGCCTCCCGGAATCATGGGGCGGGGCCAAAGGCTGTCTCTTATACACATCTAGATGTGTATAAGAGACAGATATGGGGCCCGCTGCTGCTTGTTTGAGAGATTTTAGGAAAGTCCTAAGCATGAGGCTGGAGAGGCCACTTGCACAGAAAAGCCCCTGGAAATGGCCTGGATGAGCTGCAGGTGGGGAGGGGCGGGGCCTCCGGGAATCACGGGGCGGGGCCAAAGGTGTGAGTCAGGTGCTGGCGATTCAAATATGGCGCCTGCCTGCCGGCTGTGTGCGGGGAGGACTCGCCACTGGAGCCATGGTCTCCGCCAGCCCTTCTGCCTGGGAGGAAGCCACCCCTCCAGCTCTCGCCCAACTTCAGGCAGGTTAGTTCCTCCCCGAGTGTCCCGGGTCCTTTCAGGCTGCCGCCCGGTGCTGGGCTCAGAGGGAGCGTCTGAGTGAGTCCGTGCCGGGCCCTTTAGAGGAGCTGCTGGGGCTCCCGCAGCCTCCGCGACCCTCAGCCACAGTCCCCTCTGGTTTAAAACCCCAAAGTTGTGGGCATTTGTCTTCGGGCCCTGGAGGCCTGGGCTGGGGGCCCTCCCTCCTCCAGGAAACCTCTGCTGCCGAGATTCCCTCCCGGGTTTAAACTGCGGCACCGGGGGTGGCCCCGAGGCCGCCTCTCCAGGATTCAGCCCCGATCCGCCCGTGTCCCCGCCCCTCCTCCCGGTCTCCGTGCTTCTTCAGCTCCCTGGATGTAGGGCTCCTGTTCGGCCAGTTTCAGGAGGCTCAGAGTGATGGTGGTTCTGTATTTTAGCTGTGATTTTGATGTGGCTGCGGGAGGCGGCGGGTACAGCTGCTGCCTACGCGCCATCTTGTTTTCCTCCTATGCCCTGGGTAGTCTTGATTAGCTGTAGGTGACCATGAATGGCCCTATATGACTCTGGGTGGCCCTGGATTAGCCCTGGTGGGTCTGGATGGTCTTGGATACCCTTGGTGGTCCTAGATGAGCCTGGGTGGCTATGGATGCCCATGGAGGACCCTAGATGTTCATTGGTAACTCTGGATGGCTCTAAGTGTCCCTACATGACTCTGGAAATCACTGAGTATTCCTTTGTGACTCTGGATGGCCTTTGATGACCCTATTGTCATGGGTGGCCCTGGTGTTTCTGGGTGACCCTGGATGGTTTTGGGTGGTCTTCTTTGATGTTTGGTGGTGTTTTGTATCTCTGGGTTCCCCTAGATGACCCTGGGTGGCCATGGGTGACAGTGGATGATTCTGATGGTTTTGCGTGGCCTGGTTGCACTGGGTAACTCTGGGTTAGATTACTCAGGGTGACCCAGAGTGGCCCTAGATGACCTTAAGTGAGCCTGGATGATCTGTTTGATCCTGAGTTGCTGTGAGTGGCATGGATAGCCATGGATGGCCCTTAGTTGCCCTGCATGTCTATAGGTGACCTGGTTCTACCACAGTGGCCCTAGATGATCCTAAATGTTCCTAGATGACTCTACATGGCCCTGGACATACCAGGGTGGTTCTGGGTACCCTTCAATGGCCCTGGATGGCCTTTCAGATCTTGAATGTCCCTTAGAGACACTCTGAATGTCTCTGAGTAGACAGAGATAGCCGTAGATGATTTCAGAAGAGGGAAGCCCCTCTCTGTGATCACAGCATAAAGTCTGGAATCTGCCCTTTCCCTTCCCTGTTTACGACATCACCTGGCATTGGGATGGAGGCCAACAGCCGGCACAGGGTGGCAATGTCTCCTGGAAGGGAAGGTGGGGAAGGGCATCCTGTTGATGGTGGCTCTGTGCTCTCACCACCCTAGGTGTGGGCTTCACGGTCATCCTGATCTCACTCTACGTTGGCTTCTTCTACAACGTCATCATCGCTTGGGCGCTGCACTACTTCTTCTCCTCCTTCACCACGGAGCTGCCCTGGACCCACTGCAACAACACCTGGAACAGCGCCAACTGTACAGACGCCCACTCCAGCCCCGCGGGCAACGGCTCGGGCCTCAACGGCAGTTTCAGGACCACGCCAGCCGCCGAGTACTTTGAGTAAGCGGGAGGCCACTCCTCGGGGTTCCGCGGCTCCTCACTTGCTGTGTCTGCCTCTGGAAGGGAAGGACGCAGAGCTGGGCACTCTATGGCAGCCCAGGGGTCAGCCACCTGCCCCTGCTGCCTCACCTGGTGTGAGAGGACCCTTTCCTTGTCCTGTGCCCGTGTCCTGTTCCCTTGGTTTTTCTGGGACAAAGCTAACGTGAGTCCTCAGCCTGGGTGGAAGGCTGAGCAGGCCCATGGCTGCTCTGTCCTGCTCCCTGTTTGGGGTGGTAGGAGGCCAGCCCGAGGCACCACACACACTGTGTGGATGGGTGGAAGGCACGCTGAGGGCTGCAGAGTGCACTGGTGTCATTCATCTGCCCATCCTCCCTGTGCAGGCCGGGCCCAGTTCTCTTCAGAAAAGTCCTTCCTGGGCAGGCCCCATTGCAGCCTCACTGGACAGACCTTGTCTGCAGGTGCACCGACTATCTGCTTTTCACGAGGCACTCTTTTCTTTTTACAAACACAATGCTGTTTTTTTTCCATGGGTCTCTCCTCGGTCCCCATGTGCAGCAGCTTTCCCAGTATCCCACTCCTTACCTCCCCTTGCCAAGCCTGTCCCTCTCCTCCAGTGTGTTCTCTGAATGTCTTCGGGCACTGCATCAGCTCTTGGCTTCCTCCACTTCCTCACAGCATGAAGCAGGGTTTAGAGGGTCTGGAGGGACTGCTAGAAGGATCTGGTGTTTTCTTAGAGCATCATTAAGAAGATCGTGGTTTGCTCATGGGGGTTGTGTGATGGTCTTAGTTTTTAGGAAGATACCCTTTTGGGTGGTTTGGAATTAGACAGAGTGAAAAGTGTCTGAGGGCAGGGAGGGACTCCCATGACGGGAAAGAGAGGGGCCCGCCAAGAGTGCCCTGGCCAGGAGAAGGGAGACTCCAGGCCTAAGAGGTTGAAGGCTTTCATCTCATGGAGCTCACAAGAGGGGTGAGCTGGCTTCAGAGGATGGGGCAGGGAGAAGAGTCTGCCTGGGATCTGCCCCTTTCCATTTACCTGGAGACATGGGGGGGGGCATATCCTAGAGAAATGGAATCACAGGTGGGGTTACCTGAGTATGTGCATAGGACTCAGTGTGACAAGCAACCAGGAAATGATATAATTGTCCAAATATAGACAAGCAGAACATTCAGCAAAGTTATTTTACTGTTCTTAGAGGCAAAAAACCAAACACACACACACACACACAGTGCTTGCCACTGGCCTGTTTATTACTACATTTCCCAAATGTCAGTGTCTCATTAAGATGCTGAGGCCAGGGGTGTGTGTGTGCTCTCCCCCATGTGGACCCACTCTCGTGGTAGTCATGTGGTAGAGAGAAGGGTTGGGGACCTCAGCACAGAAAGCAGCCAATCAGAGGTGGCTGTGGCAAGAGCCTAGGAGTGTCCTAGTCAAATCCCATCACAGGAAAGGACATTCAGAGACGGCTCGTGCTGGAGGTGGGTTTAATTGATTTTACTGACAAGATGGTGGCTCAGTGGTCAAGCTATCACGCCTTTTACAATTTCAAGATGGATTTCAGTGCAACTTAGAACATCTGGAAGGCTTGCAGAGATGTCGAAAGGTGACCAGTGACACTTTTGGGACTGCTTATCTTTTGTTTGGCAGGTGTGGAAAGAGTTCATTTATCTAAGTGATTTTCAGATAAGAAAATTAGAGGGGAAAAATGGTTGCTCAAGTGATTTATGACTAAGAACACCAAAGGGAAAGACTACATGTGATACGTGACTTTTAAAAATCAGACTAGTGAAATCAATTTGAAAACCCACAGTCTGGGAGAAAGATGTTGAGATAGAAGGTACCCAGCTTCCCCCTCCCCCCCATGAAGCACACGTTAGCATGAGCAGATGCTGCACCGTCATTGGAGGTGATGACAGGACAAAGGCGGGGCATCTGAAGAAGGTTTACAATGAAGCGGTGGATGACACTGAGGCCCTGGTGCTCCTCCCCAAGCACTTTGCAGGTGATTTTACCAGGAGTGGTGACTGGGTTTCCTTGAGACAGGTCCCTGTGGCCATCAGGCCTGCAGGCCAGGATGTTTTCTGGAATTTAAACCCACTTTATAAAGTGAATCATTGTGAAAAGGACTGCATGTTCCTGCACGCACGTATAATTAGGGAGCTCACCACAAAATGCCATAAAGGCCAAGATAACTGTAATCATAAAATAGTAAAGCTCTAAGTCCTACAACGTGGGCATACATAGCTCTGTCACTAGCTATCAAGGAACTCCAGCCCCCTCTACAATATATAAAGTTATGAACTATCATGCAATTGACAACTCGAATGTTAGCAAGGTAGATCTAAAAGGTCTTCACCATGCATTTTAACTCCAGGTCCTCAGAGAGTAACTGTTATGCTTGGCGTGATGACCAGTGCTGGTGAATGGGAAGCACTCATGCCTTTCTGGGACAAGCTGTGCAGGCTCAGGGCAGCTTTTCTGCACTCTGCAGACTCTGTGTGCAGAACTCTCCCAGGCAAATGAGAGAGTCTTGCAGGAGCTGATGTGTCCCAGCTCCCCAGGGGCTCCAGCAGCCTTCCTGTAGCAGCTCCCTCTACAAACAAATGAAAGGAAGCAGTCACAGTGAGGATGACTCCACCTATATGATGACTCAGCTTGGAGACTAGATAGTGAAAAATCCTAGCCCATGAAGTTTACTTTATTTTCATTCCTCTTATCTGAAGAAACCCTTTAGTATTCACCCCCAATTTGCCCATTTTATAGAGTCCCCATTTTTCACCCAGACCCTCTTTCCTCATTAGTCCCTGTACTTGCTGACCCTCCATCTGCAGTCCCTAGTGGGTGTGCATGAGAAAATGCTATAGGCTCAGGGAAGAAACCAGGAGTTTATGGCTGTGACTCCAGAATCATGAAACAATGCAGTGAATACACTTGACAGATATGAAACCTGAGCCAGAAAAGGGCATATGGGCTCTGGAAGTCCCAAAATAGGCCCATGCAACTCCCACCAATTTAAAATGTACCTCAGTCCCATAAACACCATCAATACCACCTTAACCTAATTTCTAATATAAATTAGAAAGCTCTGAATCTAAAGCTACAAATTTGTCTCTAAGAGACTGCTTTAGCTGCCTTCTGCAAAATTCCATATGTTGTATTTTCATTTTCATTCAGTTCAAAGTGTTTCCTAATCTGCCTTGTGATTTCTCTTTTCACTCACAAGGTATTTTCAGAGGTTTGTTGTTTAATTTTATAATTTTTGGAGGTTTTCTAGATGTGTTTCTGTTACTGACTTCTAATTTAATTCTGATTTGGTAAGATATCATACTTAAAAACTTCATTATTTCAAAATATACTGTGACTTGATGAGTGTTCCATGGACACCTACAAAGAATGCTTGTCTTACTGTTTTGGGGTTGAGAGTTGTGTGTCAGCCAGGTTGTATTAGCTCCTGGTGCTCTGCAGGTCTCCTTACTGATTCTGTCTACTTCTTCCATCGCTACTGAGAAAGGGGTGTTGAATCTCAACCATAATTGTGGGTATGCCTATTTCTCTTCACAGTTTTATCAGATTTTGCTTCATTTGTGTATTTTGATGCTCTGTCATAAAGTGTATATATGTTTAGGAATATCAGCTCTTTGAATTGAACCCTTTTTCATTATGGAATGTCTTTCTTGGTAATATTTCTCATTCTGACATTGGTTTTGTCTGATATTAGTATCTATGATCATCCAAGCTTTCCCATGAGTGGTGTTTTCTATTTACCTATGCATTCACCATTTTGAGTCCTCTCCTACCCTTATGTAGAGACAGGTTTCTATTTCATCTGAAGAATTCCACTAAGCATTTCTTATATTGCAGACCTGCAGGCAATGAATTCTCAGCTTTCACTTTTCTGAAAAAATTTTGCTTTTTGGGGGGGCTTCTATGGTGGTAAACTATACATAACAGAAAATTTGCCATTTTAACCATTTTTTAAATTTACAATTCAGTGGCATTAAGTAATTTTACATTGTTGTGCAGCAATCACCACCATCCATCTCCAGAACTTTTTCATCTTCCCAAACTGAACCTCTGTCCCCTTTACACACTAACCCTCCATTCTGTTCCCAGGCCTTGGCACCCCCATCTATTTTCTGTCTCTGCATTTGACAACTCCAGGGACCTCATAACAGAGGAATCATACAGTATTTGTCCTTTGTATCTGGTTTATTTAACTTAGTTCAATGTCCTCAAGGTTCATTCATGTTGTAGTGTGTGTCAGAGTTTCCTTCCTTTTTAAGGCTGAATAATATTCTATTGTATGGATGGACCTCATTTTGTTTATCAATGAACACTTGAATTACTTATACCTTTTGGCTACTGGAAATAATGCTGCTATGAACAATGGTGTAAAAATATCTGTTTGAGTCCCTGTTTTCAATTCTTTTGGGTATATACCCAGAAGTAGAATTGCTAGATTATATCAGAATTCTGTTTATCTTTTTAAGAAACCACCATACTGTTTTCCACAGTAGCTGCACCACTTTACGTTCCCACCAAAAACGCACACAGATTCCAATTTGTCTATATCCCAGACAACACTTGTTTTCCTTGTGTGTTTTTTTATAATAAACATTCTTATGACTATGCAGTTGATATCTCATTTTGGTTTTGATTAGCATTTCTCTAATGATTAGTGGTGTTGAGCATGACTTCATGAGTTCACTCATCATCTGTATACCTTCTTTGGAGAAATATCTATTCAAGTCCTTTCCCAGTTTTGGAATTGAGTTGTTTAGAGTTTTGCTTATTGCTCACTTTTAGGAGTTCTTTATATATTATTATTCTGAGTATTAATTCCTTATCAGACATGTGATTTGCAAATATTTTGTCCCATTCTATGGGCTGTCTTTTACTCTGTTGATAGTGTCCTTTGATGCACAGAAGTTTTAAATTTTGATGAAGTCAGTTATCTATTTTTTCTTTTATTTTTTGTGCTTTTGTTGTCATATCAAAATTTCCATAGCCAAAAAGAAAAAAACACACACAACAAAAACAAGTGAAGCTCATAGACACGGAGAATTGATTGGTGGTTGCCAGAGGTAGAGGGTGGGGGTTAGAAAAAATGGGTTAACTGGGTTTTTTTGTTTGTTTGATGTTTGTTTAAATAAATTGAATACTTTTATTAAAATATCCATTGCCAAAGTCAAGGTCTTGAAGATTTATGCCTGTGTTTTCTGCCAAGAGTTTCATAATTTCAGCTCTTACATTTAGTCTTTTACCCGTTTGAGCGGATTTTCGTATTTGGTGTGAGGCAGCTATGGATCGATTTTCTCCAGGCTGCAGGTCACATTTTCTTGCTGCTTGTTGTCTAGTAATTTTGTAACTTTCCTTTAATGAGTGTTGGATTTGCTCTGGTAGGAAGTTAATTTGCTTGTGGTACAGTTTTCTCCTTTTGCAGCTTGTTGTTGAAATGCTTCTGGGGCAGCCTTTGCTTCAAGACTGGTTTATCCCCTTTACTGCAGTGACCCTTTCAGGGTCTACTGAACTGTCCATGTGATTGGCAAGCCTCCTGCCCTGGCTGGTGGGAGCTCAGTGGTCTTCAGCCCTGCATGAGCTCTGGGGCCTGCAGAATTTCACCCTGTGGCTGAGTAAGCGGGCTCCTGTGGAGAGCCTTTCAGCACCTCAGACTCCCTGAGCTCCATCACTGTTCCCTTCACCCAGCAAGACCCCATGCTGTGCTCAGGACCTCCATGTCTGCCATCAGGAAGGTGCCTCCAGGTGGGAACTGGGACCTTGCAGGGCTTACCTCACTGCTTCCCTTCTCCCAGGAGTCTCAACCCTGTGTCATCTCCAGTCCCACATCTACAAATACTCTTTTGGTGTACTTTGTCTAGCTTTCTAGTTGGTATGATGTCAATCCCTCATGGCCAGAGTGGAGCCCCCTCACCCCCTTTCCATGGCAGCCATCTCCCCCCAGGCAGAGCATGGGTTCAGAACTAGGCTGCCTGGGTCCAGGTCCTGGCTCTGCTGTTGGCGATTCTGGGTTGGATAGTGCTCTTCCCCTCTCAGTTCTTGGGTTCCTTGTCTGTAAATGGGGCAACACAGCTGCAGTGGGGATCCAACGAGACAGTGCAAGTGCAGCCCAGTGCATGCCTGGCACACCTCAAATGCTCCCTTATCCGGATCCAAGGACCATGACAATAAACACACCCAAAGAAAGAATGCAGCAGAAAGTGGAAGTGTTATACCCTTGCCAAGGCTGGTGACATCCTAGGCCATCACTATTTGGTCCTCCAGGCCACTTATTCTCCAGAAATGTCTGTGTTTCAGCCCAAACCATCTTACCCAGACATCCTGTCATCCTACCCTGTGCCTGCTCTTGGGAAGCACCTGCTCTCCCCTGTGTCCTGCGGTGTCCTGTCATGACTGGTGTGCTGTCCCATGCAGTGCTGGTGCCTGCCGACTCCTCTGCCTGGCTGACGGCACCTGCAGAGGACTTTTTAGCCTTGGGGAAGAGAATTGACCAGTATAGACAAAGTGCTAATTCCCAAAGCAATTTGAAACATTCAAGGCAAAACCAGCATGTGTAGTGTCCTAGAAGAGCTTTATGAGTAAGTCCCCGAGGAGAGCCACACACTTTCTCCCCGGCTGCACCCTCTCAGGCCTGGGAGGCTGCAGACCCCTATGCGCTCCTTTCCCAGGCAAATGGGTAAGTGGCCATCTGCCACAGGTTAGGTGAGTAACCCATGCCTGTGTGTGCAAGGCACTGTAAGGATGCCTGTGGAGGGGTTGGTCTGGGCCAAACACAGTGCGGCCTCACTTGGCAGATGGTGTTGTCCCCAGGAGACTTCTCTCATTGGTGAAAAGAGGTTCCAGGTGATAAGGCCTGGTGGGGGCTCCAGGACAAGGGGGAGGGGTGAGCATGGGCAGCAGACACAGAGCCAGGGCTGAGGTGGGAGAAAGAAGAGAGGAAGACACTGGGAATTCTACCACCTCCGGTAAAGTGGGTCCTGGGAAGGCAGTCCCTGGGAGGGCAGGCCCCGGGCGAGGCAGGCTCCACCTTCTCCCCTCACCTCGAGGATGGACCCTACCTCTCAGCTAGGACTGCTGGGTGTGGCCCTTCTGGGTGGGGGAGTCTCTGGACCTGCCAGGCTGGGTCTTCTCTGCCATGTCAAGTTGGGGAGGAGAGTGTCTGGGCAAGCTCAGCTGTCTGGTTATGGCTCTGGGTGGGGAGGCAGTGTTTCTCCAGGGCCCTGCCTTCTCCCCTCCCAGGCGTGGCGTGCTGCACCTCCACGAGAGCCGTGGCATCGATGACCTGGGCCCTCCCCGCTGGCAGCTCACATCTTGCCTGGTGCTGGTCATTGTCCTGCTCTACTTCAGCTTGTGGAAGGGAGTGAAGACTTCTGGGAAGGTGAGACTGATGGCAGCCTCGCTGGTGGGAAACGGACACCTGGCCGTGGTTGGGGAGTGGACAGGGGACTGTGGTTGGATTTAGGGTGAGCGGGTGCCGTGGTTGGGTTTAGGAGTGGATAGATAGGCCATGGTAGGTTGGGGTGTGGACGGGTGGTTGTGGTTGGGTCATGAAGTGGAAACCTTTCCACTATGGTGGGTTAGAGAGTGGACAGGGGATCTGTTTGGGTTGGGGAGTCAGCATGTGACTATGGTTGAGTAATGACGTCAAGGAGAAAGCACCCACGGCACAGTGTTTTCAGCATTAAGACGAGCACAACATAAACTAGTTTTTGCTAATGAAAATATTTTGGTTATTTTCTGGACACCCAAAGCAATTCTTACCAAAATGTGTTCATCACTTGTGATAATACACTTAGTGAATTGTCAACACATGAGAACCTTTTGATAGTGACGGTGCCTTTCCTCCCCCTCCCTCTGCGGCCCAGAATCCATCCTTTACCTGTAATCCAGGTGCATATTTGCACAATCAGTGAAATTTGCTCACATCTCACTCATCAGAAATCTGGCCACTCCTGCCCGCTCCTACTGTGACAGACCAAATACAGAACACGAATGTTCCCTCCTTGCCAAATTGTCCTCTTTTAATCCCTGGGAAAGATGCACAGGATAGAAGGCATTTATGATCTCACCCAAGTGAGCACTTGCTGAGCTGACGTCCTGTGAATGTTTGGGATGTTGGGCTTCCCAATCAGAGGCCGCCTCTCTCTCAGCACCAACCATCAGGGTGACCTTGAGCCACTCCCTGCCAGCAGGTGGCCTGTGCAGCCCAGTGATGCTGTCCTCTCCCCAGGTCGTGTGGATCACGGCCACCATGCCATACGTGGTCCTTTTTGCCTTGCTCCTTCGAGGAATCACTCTTCCCGGAGCCATGGACGGCATCAGAGCGTACCTGAGCGTAGACTTCCATCGGCTCTGTGAGGCGTCCGTGAGTATGCCCACCACTCACGGCCCTGCAGCCCATGTGGATTGGCAGTTGCAGTGCCAGGGGGGCCCCCTGCTTTGGGGCAGGAGATCCCCAAGGCAGCAGCTCGGCTGGAATTTCTCACTCGCCTTATAAATCCAGCAGGTGCTGGCTGCCCTACTGTGTGCGAGTTTCTGCAGGACAATGTACACACCTGACCCCACCAGTAAAGTTCACCATCTTGCTGAGAAGGGGAATGTGAATGGACCAGAAGTGGGGAGCTGAATGGACCAGAAGAAGGCAGTTAGGGGAGATGGTCACTTGCTGGGTTTCTGCAGGAATAGAATGAAGGCTACTGCCTATTGACCTCTTCCCCCATGTCCCATCCTTGCCTTGGAGGAACGCTCTTGGATTCCCCGGATAAGCGCCAATAGGGCTGCCCAGTCTGTGCCAGAGAGCTTTGACTCTCACCTGGAATGCAGCCCTGAGCTCCAGCTCCCTGTTCATTGGCCCAGCAAGGCTGAGTCATGTCAGAATTGCAGGAACCAGGGCTCCTTCCTCAAGAAGCCAAACCTCAGTGGTGAAACACACCGGGTGCCCATAGCACAAGAGCATGACCTAAGTCAAATCATATTGAAAAGTAAGTCCAGAGTCAGGCTGTAGGTTTCTTCAGCAAAGGAAGAATATTTGGAGACAGCCTCCTGAAGGGAAGAGGCTTGGCCAGGCCGTGGGAGAGGAGTCTCCTGACAGAGAGAAGGGGTGGCACTGCAGGGAAACAGCTCAGAAATGGCAGCGACCACTGGCGGGTGGGGGTAGGGGTCATGGGAATGGCAGCTTTTGAAAGGGAATGGGTGCAAACTCAGGTGGGCTAGACTGCGGCATACGGTGGGGCTCCAACAGCCTCCCAGGGGAGTCCAACTAGGCGTGGAAGAAGGGTGTAGCCAGAAGGGGAAGGTCCAGGCGGAGGCAGGGGGCCCTTTGGAAGGTTGCTGCCTTATGCTGCTAGGTTGCATGAGAGGCAGGTGGGGGGCTCACCAGGGACTCAGGAAGGAGCAGCTCTAAGGAAGAAATGGGAAGGAATGAGGGAGCAGGGCAGGTGGGCGCGGCACCAGGCTCCCAGGATGCCCCAGGAGGGGAAGTTGCTGCAGGAGCTATGGGACGAAGGCTCCTCGAACATGACCCCTTTAAGCCCATAAGGTGAGGACAGCCGTGTGGCACCAACTGGGAGCCCACGGGAAAACAGGAGGTAAGGCCATGAGAGTAGACGCGTGTTCCACGGGCTTGAAGGAAGGGGGCGCTGAACTCCTGAAAGGATGTGCGGCAGAGGCCTGGACCACAACTCCGGGCAGCACGCAAGAGGAAGCAAAACTGATACCAGCGTTCATTCGTAATAAATTCACTGTGTGGTCGTGTGGGAAACGCACAGAGTGCAGACACACTGCCCCTTTCCATCACGCTCCTGCAGGCCAGTGACACGGGAAGGTTTATTCCCTGAGACACATTTCACTCTGGTCATGTTGTTGGCACCAGTTGCTTATTGATAATGATGCTGAGTTTAAATTCAACCAGTTCCATGGAGCTGGAGTCATTGCAGCTGGAGACACCTGCAGGGGGACAGGAAGCTGATGCCTCAGTCTTTGCACAATTGCCTGTGACAGCTGGCTCTCACTTCCCCCAATTACCTCTGACAGCTGCTCATCTCCCCTCTGGCTGCAGGTTTGGATCGATGCTGCCACCCAGATATGCTTCTCATTGGGCATTGGATTTGGGGTGCTAATTGCCTTCTCCAGTTACAATAAATTCACCAACAACTGCTACAGGTAGGCCCTGAGCTCCCATCCCATCCTCTCCCATAAGGTGGTCTGTAAAATCATGGGGGCAGCACTGATATGGGCGTGGGGGCATCATAATATATCCCTGGTTGAAGGGAAAATAAGCTGTGCATGCAAAACCTCTGAGCCAAATGGCTTTTTAAATGGAAACTAAAATGGGGAAGCTATAGGCAAAATGTTGATCCTTGCTTTAAGGAAGGTATTGAAACACGTGAAGATATGTATCACCTCCCTGCAAGGAATCTATTGGATTCTAGGAGTAGCAGATTCCCCCTGAGGTCCCACCCCTGCCTCCTTCCTCCTCCCAAAACCCAGGGTCAGGCTTCTCCTCCAGACTTCCCCACAGTGAAGCACCTGAACGTGTCCCCTGACCTGCACCTGGGAGCCTGGGTCTCAAAGGGTATCCCGGACCCTGTGCAGAGGCACCCAAGTGACCAGCATCAGGACAGGAAGGAAAGTGGCAGCACCGTGTGCACATAGCCTGATGGCATCTTGGCCATGCCAACTGGCCCCGAATGACTTGACTTACCTGCAGCCACATGTTGGACCCAAAATCCTTCTAAAAACAGAAACAGAATTTACCTGGGACCTGCTTTCTTCGACCTTTGCAGGATCGTGTTTATATTCTTTCATATCCTGAGACTAAAATGTGGTAAAAATACAAAGACAGTGTGCACAGCAAAATGACCAGACAGACCGCTGCCGGGTCCCACAGAGGGTGAATTCTGGATGGCTGTTTCCGACAGCCCTGCCTGAGCCCACCTATGCCCCACCCCCCTGCTCGGTCACTATTTGATGTCCTCCCACTTAGCTCTCAGGAGGGCTGACCCCACTCCGTCCTCCCCTGTTCTCCTCTGGCCCTAGACCAGCAGCACCAGCCCCCAGGAGCAGCAGGAAAATACATCATCTGGGGCCCACCAAACCCACTCTGTCAGAGCTTGCATTTGAACAAGGTCCCCCCGCCTGACAGCCCCAGCAGCACAGGTGGGGACCCCCATGGCCATCTGTTCTGTTCACCCAGAGCCCCAGCATTGCTGGTGGGGACTGTCTTGCCTTCAGCACTGAGTCATGTGTCCCAGGAGCCTCTCCATCCCAGGCAAACATGACAACTGGTCACTGTAAGGACATGCCCAGAGCCCAGAGCCCAGAGCCTGCTGCTGGGAGGTCCCGGGTGGGAGGTCCCATCCTCACAGGCAGGGCAGCCGGAGGACAGGCTCTGCAGCTGCAGGAGGGACTGGGAGTGCTTGTCGAGAAACAGATGCAGTAAATTGAGAATAATGACTGGAAATTGCAGCTGTTCCAGCGCTGGGATGGGGTGTCTTGTTCTCACAGAGACGCCATCATCACCACCTCGGTCAACTCCCTGACGAGCTTCTCCTCGGGATTTGTGGTCTTCTCCTTCCTAGGGTACATGGCCCAGAAACACAATGTCCCCATTGGGGATGTAGCCAAGGATGGTGAGTCCCCCAAGGGCAGGCTGGGACCCCCACACCTCTGCCTGCTCTAGGCAAGTTCTCAAAAGGTGTTTTCCTGCAAAATGAGGGGGAGATACACAGGCCTTGGTATCATGAGAGCTGCTGACTTGAGCAACTACACATGTTCACATGCTGGACCAATTGTAAGAGAAATAACGAAGTAGGACACCCCTGTCCCTGCATCCTCCCACTCCCACCCCCTTTGGGGGACAATGTGACTAGTGGCACTTTAGCCATCTGCCACATGCCCCTTTCAGTGGCCACTTGGGCTGCAGGATAAGGGTCTCATTCCCTTGTCACTCTGGATCCCGGTTTTTGTTTACACCTTGAGGGGCGATGAGCAGAGTGCTGAGCTGTTCCAAGCAACAAGGCTTTGGACTTACGCATGATCAGCCAAAAAGAAGCTGAGTTGTTTTTGACATAAGCAGCTAATCTGTTCCAAAGCTTTTCCTTCCAAACTCCCAGTGACCATGGCGTGTTTAGATGGGATTTGGATAGCATTCAGAGGAATCCCTGGACTCTCCAGCACACGGAGTGTGTGCCCTGGGAGTTGGCAGGGCATGGGCACAGATGACACAAGAGCAGGCTCAGCCCCGGCAGGAAGTATACCAGGCAGGGGAATCTGGGCGGCTGGGCACAGATGCAGGTGCTGAGGGAAGACTCTGATTGCTGCAGCCCCCTGGACATTTGTGAGTCTGCTTGGTTCTAGCTCATGATGGAAACCACAGCATAGGCAGCCTTGAATGGGATCAGTGCAGGTTCCAGATCTTTTGAGATGGCCACAACCCCTCTCCTGCCTGCAAGACTGTTTTACAAGTGAGCAGTGAGGGGTCTCCTCCTGGAGACTGTTCTCTGGCTCAGGGCACCTGCTCTGACTTTGAAGACCTCCCTCCCCTTCTCCTGGTAGCTGGGAAGTCCCTTCTTCTGCTGGGGCTGCTCCTTAGACTCAGAAAAGCCGTGTGAGTGCCAATGACAGATCTTCCTGGGTAGGGGATCATTCAGGGAGGGGAGGAGGGAGCAGAGGACCCACGCCACCTGTGCCCTGAGCTCTCAGCCAGGCAGCCTCGTCATCCCATCTAATTCCTGGAGAGCTGAGCACTAAAACTCCACTTTGAAAGTAGGAAACATATACTTCCAGACCCAAAAGGACTCCTGTGAAATTGCAGAGAAAGCAGGGGGCTGGGATGAAAGTTTCGCATGTTTTCAAGTCCATATTCTTTCCTCTAGGAAAAAAAAATTAATAAAGGTGGGAGAATGGGAGCATAACACAAGTAAGTGCAGAGCAGTGAAATTTACTCCCTCGCATTTATGCATTCTCACTGCTCTTTTTGCCCTTTATTATGATAAATACGAATAACTTGCAAAAATTTCTATTAACCCTTGAAAGTAAAGCTGAATGTCTTCTGTGCATTTCCAACACACTGGACAGAATTTGTGAATGTGGTCTGCGCGTTGTTTGTGGTTTTACAGATCACACTTAGAGTACCTCAGGGCACAGGAAATATTTACAACGTATTGCTCATGAAGCATAGTGAGTGCAAGTGTGTGTGAGTGTGTGTGTGAGAGAGAGTGTGAGTCCTACTCGGGAAGAACAAATCCAAGGGGTCACTGCATGCTCAGGCAACACCCGAAGCTCCTCCCTCTCCTCCCCCAGAGCCCCCCCAGCCTGTAAAGAGGGAGGTGGAGCAGGGCTGCGGCCCCTGGAGTCCAGAGCCAGGAGGGAGGACAGGACAGGTGGCGATGGGAAAGACTTTGTGCTACTGAATCTAGAGGCACTTGAAGGGGGCTGAGTTGGCTTCCTGGGGCTGGAGAAGAGGGTGTAAACTTGAAGTGGCACTTGGCGGCAACCAGGGGTTCTGCTTTCAGGGCCAGGGCTAATTTTCATCATCTACCCCGAGGCGCTCGCCACGCTCCCACTGTCCTCGGCCTGGGCTGTGGTTTTCTTCATCATGCTGCTCACCCTGGGGATCGACAGCGCTGTGAGTGACATCGGCATTTCCCATGCCCGGGGCCCCACCCATGACAGCCAAGCTCATCTGCAGCCACAGGCGCTCCCTGGGGTTCCCCTGAGGTTTCTGTGTTCACACAGAGCCCCACATGGGTGGTAGGGAGTGGTCTCGGGATTACTTGAAACCCTTCCTGGGATGGAGTTTTCGGACCAACTTACTCCTTTTTCCATTCGGGGAGGCACCAGCTCCACCTCTGCCTGAGCCACCATGGACTCTAAAGCAAGAGGGCTGCACAGGAAAACAGGGTGATGTGACCAGAATCATGGCAGGTTCCTCAGGACTCATCACGTTTCCTGACCCCTTAGCCCCCAGGATGATGGCTGCATTTGCAAGATAGGGCAGCAAAAGTCTCCAGCAGCAGCCCAGGCCCAGGTGTCTTATGTGTGGCCCTTCATATGTGTGTGTGGCTATGTGTGTGGTGTGTGCTAAGGGGGCGGATGGTGGGCCTCATTCAGCCCTGAGCTCCCTGGACTTCCTCAGCCTCCTTCCCCATTGCCTGCTCATGACCAACAGCTAAGATCTCAAGGTCCTCATGACTGTCCTGGTTCACCTGAGCTTCCTGGAGAGTGCAGAGTTCCTCCCCATGAGAACACTGGTCGGGCTCCATAGCCCTTCACCTCCTCTCCTACCAGCCCTCAGTGGACCACACCATTGAACCTCGTGTCTGGTGGGGATGCAGCCATGACAGCACTTCTGGGGGAGGTGGTCTCGACAGAGTGGGGCAAAGAGGATCCCCAGGCAGCCAGGGCCTCGTGGGCAACATGAACCATGGCACTCAGAATCAGGAAGGCTTTGTATGTTAGTAACATAGCAATTCTCCCCTACCCCCAGGACTTCATAGTGGCTGAGAAAGTAACCACCAGTGGATGGAGTGTCCACCCCCAGTCCTCTCTCTCCAATGGCCTTGTCATGAGAGAAGCCCTCCTGAGGGCTGTCTTGTCTTTAGGGCCTTCTGTACCCTGGACTCCATGCAGTTCCCACTCCATATCCATTTTGCGGGTGAACATCCACTGAATTACATGTAAATCGCACCCGGGTGTGGTACTGAATGCCTCCCAGCATGTCCCCTGCTCTGTGTTGGCTGCAGATGGGCGGGATGGAGTCAGTGATCACCGGGCTCATCGATGAGTTCCAGCTGCTGCACAGGCACCGGGAGCTCTTCACCCTCTTCATCGTCCTGCTCACCTTCCTTCTCTCCCTCTTCTGTGTCACCAATGTACGTACACGCTCAGCTCCACCTGACAATGTCTCACTAGCTCTCAGCTCTGGGTGGCAAGGCTGGTGCTGTCAGGCCAGACAGAGCCACAACTTTTCTAAGAGCTGCATCCCCCCAAAAAACAACCATTGACTTGTATTCATACTCAGGTGGCCGTGGTCACACTCAGGGTGGCCGTGGTCACAGGGTGGCCATGGTCACACACAGGCAGCTGTGGTAACATGGAGAAGCCGTGGTCACACAGAGTAGCTGTTGTCACACTCAGGGTAGCCATGGTCACACAGAGTAGTTGTGGTCATGCTCAGGGTATCCGTGGCCACATGGAGTAGCCGTGGCACAAGTGGAACTTGGTCTAGAGTTACTTCAGCACCTGGACAGTTCCCTGGGAGGTGCCCTTGGCTCAGCCACCTTTCTCTTGGATTTGTGGAGCTGGAGGGAGGCCAGTCCATGGGGTGCAGGGAAACCAGGTCACCTTCTCTCTCAATAAAGGCTTTGCTAAGCTAGGCATTTGGTTGCTTTCATTTCCAATGGCACCAGGAGTCCTGAGAAAGAAGCGAGGTTGTCTTTATTTCTATTTTTTTGTAGTACATGTGTCCCTGAGAAGTTGCTTGTGGATTGAATTTTAGTGACTCAAATCAGACTTTATAGGGAGTAAAACAGAATCTGTCTGTAAACTGAACCCACAGGCCAAGTTTATGTTTTGGGAAAAGCACTTACGTGGGCAAGGCTTTCGTGGGCCAGGCCTGCCACACCGAGACACCGGAGTTCAGCAGGCACTCCCCTCTCTTCCAGGGTGGCATCTATGTCTTCACACTGCTGGACCACTTCGCAGCTGGCACATCCATCCTCTTTGGGGTGCTCATCGAGGCCATTGGGGTGGCCTGGTTCTATGGTAAGGATGAAGCCTTTCTGAGGGACTGGTGTGCTTTAGCGGCAGGTGACCCAAGCCACTGTGTTATTGCTTTGGGGCTGTGCTGCTTCCTTTCTGGCAAAGCTGGCTTGAAAAGGGATGAATTTTAGCTCTAGGAAGCTGAAATTGTGGCGACTACAGTATCACAGAGATGAGAGGCCTGGCAACCGTCATCCCACTGGATCAATGAAGACAGCCTGGATGGTACCCCAAAGTCGTTACTGCAGTTAGAGGTATTCGGTGTAGCCACTTAATTATGCTGCAAAAACATCCTAATTGGGTCTTAAGAAAGAATGTTTCCTGGGACATTGGGACACTAATGCTGGTGAAGGTGAAGTCCATGTCCAGCTAACCAGGAGGTCACTAGCCCCCAACACACCAGAGAAACAAGTCGAGCCTTTTCCTCATCAGAGAACGTGACTAACAAATGCTCTTCATTAATCGTTGTGTTTCAAAGTGCCCCTGCTCATGCCTTGGGCTCCTGCTGGTGCAGAACTCCTTACCTCTCAAGGACTTCACTGCCGACCTGACTACAGACCCACCCAAGTCCAGCTGCTTCTTCATAAGTTAGAACTATGAGCCCCACGAGGTTTGGGGCCTGCCATTTGGCAGATGGCCCCCAGATGAGGCTTGGCCCCAGCCTGCAGCCATGGCCTTCTAAGCCCCTCCTGGGTTGGTGACCGAGTGTCATTTAACAGCATCAGAAAAATCTGGAGGCGACTTTGCCCCTTTCCTGAGCCTTGGCCTGGGCAAGCCACCCACCTCTCTTCTCTCCATTTTCTCTTCCATAAAATGGGTCATGGGGCCAACTCAGCTCACCTGGCCAGGAGTCTTTGAGGGAGTTGGCAATGAAAGCTCTGGACCAGGCGCTTAGCTTCATACATGTATGTGCTGGAGCTAAAGGCCTGATGTTGCACAAACCCCAGCTTCGTGCAAGCCCTCGTGTCACAGAGGGGGTCATGCTCTCTGTCTCAGCTGTGGAAACTACAACCTATTAACATGCCCTGGCTTTGAGAAGCTTGACTGACAGTTTGCAACATTTTTTTCAATTATTTTTCTACAGAAAAGGGAAATATTGAACTCTGTACTTTCATTGGAACCTTGAGTCAATACTTTTTCTATCATTTACATTGTCATCTCTCCTCCACCCCCAAAATAACACCTCATGAGAGGGAGAAGCTTCAAACCTGCCCCATGACTATGAACTCTGTGCTGGTGGAGGCTGGAGGGAAGTTGGCCGGACAGTGGTCACGTGTGCCCCAAACATGCTGACGTGCTCCCCAAAGCCTCAGAAGACAGAGATCTGCGTTATTTCTCCGAACAGCAATTCACATCCCTCTAATCTAAATGAAACAAAGTCTGCATTTCCAGTAAGACTGCATCAGAATGCACCAACCTTTCAGTGCCCCAAGGGTCTCTGTAGATCTTAAAGCTGATGGCCCAGTGCCAGGCGGGGCCACCCTGGACCTGCTCTTGGCGCCAAGTATAGAGGGGCTGCAGGGCCCTCGGGGGATACTCCCTCTTTGCTGGTCTTTGGGTTTGCCCTTCTCCACTCCCCTTTGCTCCCCAGGTCCATTTCTATATCTGCATTTTGATGATGGGGTTGGAGTGTGAGAGGGAATTCTGAACGTGGAACATGGGGAGGAGGACCTGAGGTGAGCAGAGGGTAGAGAGGGGTCAGGCAGAGTGGCTGGTACCCCACAGTTCTCCCTGAGTGATCATCAGGATTGAGAAGCAAATGTCACCCAGTGTGTGGGGGCTCCCTGGTTAGTAAGACCACTGGGTGGTCTGGAGTGGGGCTGGTCCCTACAGGAGGCATTCTGAGTTTGAGGTCCAATGGGGCAGGCCCGCGGGTCAGCAAGGACCACAGCGCTTGCCTGGGTCTCAGGGAAAGTGCTGTCCTGACCTCCCTGCTTGGCTTCCCCAGGTGTGCGGCAGTTCAGCGATGACATCAAGCAGATGACTGGGCAGCGGCCCAGCCTCTACTGGAGGCTGTGCTGGAAGTTCGTCAGCCCCTGTTTCCTTCTGGTAAGGGGCCGAAGGCCGTACATGTCCGTGCTCTGCTCCAGCTCTCATGCCTACCCCAGCGTCAGTGGTGATGGCCACAGGCAGGTTTTCACCTGAACCAGTGAATGTACTTGAGGCTGGGGGAGGGGGTTCCATGCTTCCTGGAGACTAGGGTCTCTGAGGTGGAGTCAGTGGTTACGAGGGACTTCAGGAGGGCAGTTTGGTCCCTGAAATCCTCTCTGATCTCCTGAAGGTGTGTCCCAACCCCCACCAGACCCACTGAGAAACCTCACATGGGATCCAGGGTGATCTCCCCTAACAAAGGCCTTATGTGTCCTACATTCTATCACACCTCTGCATTGGAGGGGAGGTCTGAGATGAGTGAGGTTATTGATTTTTTTTTTTTGTCTTGAGGACCAAGATAGAATTTAGACCTTCTAGGGTAACAAGTACTCAGTCCGGAGGGTGTAGTGATGTGGATTCTGTCACAGCTCTGCCCTCAGGGGCCCTCCCAGGCACAGGCACCACTCACTGGCTTTTATCATATGGGCCAAATCCATGTGTACCTGTTTTAGTGAAACACAGCCATCCCATTCATTTACAGGCTGCCCACAGCTCCTTCCATGCTGCAGCAGCAGGGCTGAGTAGTTGTGACTGAGACCCGAAGGCTCTCAACACCTACACTATCCCAGCAGGTCTGGGCAGGTGACTCCAGATGGCCATTCAAGGCTAAGTCCGTGTCTGAGTGGAGAGTTGGGAGCTGTGCAGAGAGACCAGCACCCCGTGAGCCCTGGCTCTCCTCTCAGCCTAACCAGTCCAGCGGTCACATGGGGCAGGCCTGGGACGGACAGGCAGTTAAGGCAGACCCCACCATAGGCCAGCCCAAGGGCTAGTGAGAGAGAAAGAGGGAGGGGTCAGGAGCGCAGCATCTGATATGAATGGTGCATCTCCCAGAGCTGCACCCGAACACTCGGAAGCTGCTTGTCACCCCCTCCTGAGAGTCTGAGGCCTGACTCCAATATGTCCATCTCCCCACACTCCAGAGGGTGGAGACTGTGGGTGTGTGAACCCTAGGCAGGCGAGGTGCTATTGTGCTGCTCCACACACTCCGGTCCCCCAGATGGGGCAAGCCGTGAGGTTGTCAAAGGACAGCCGAGGGAATGCCCATCAGTCAAACTCAGAACTGAGAGGATGAGCACCTCAGGAGCTCCATCCTGTGGCAGCAGCTCGGGGTCACAGAGCAGCCGAAGAAGCAGGCCCACTGCCTAGGTTCCCTGCTCTACAGGGCTGGACCCCTAGAGCTGTGGTGACTGAATACCCTTGGCCTTGGCATGCTGGCTCCATTCCACCTCTGCGCCCCCTGCCCACCAGCCAGGTGCCGCCATATGACCTCTGCCCTTGGTTTCAGTTTGTGGTCGTGGTCAGCATCGTGACCTTCAGGCCCCCGCACTACGGAAACTACATCTTCCCCGAGTGGGCCAACGCGCTGGGGTGGGCCATTGCTGCGTCCTCCATGTCTATGGTGCCCATCTATGCGGCCTACAAGTTCTGCAGCTTGCCTGGGTCCCTGCGGGAGGTGCGTATGTGGACAAGACCCCTTACCCATCCCAGTCACCTTATCGTGAGACCACCAACTACATCAAGTGGCTTTTCACCTCCTGCCAGCCAAACTCTGAACATAAACCACATAAAATCTCAGTACCTGCAACAAGTGAGGGTTTGGAAGGGTCCCCTAGGGCTATGACACTGGAGAGGAAAACTGTCCACAGAGTCAGAGATGGCAACTGCTGAGAGATGGGCCCTGGAGGACCAGCAAGGAGCACAGCCACTCTTTGTCCAGACCCTGGGGCATGGGCTACTGGGGCAGGAGGTGGAAGGAAGGCCAGCTTCCTGGAGCTGAATGTGACAGGAAGCAGGTGTCTCTCCTCTGGCATGGCATGTGAGTTTCAGGTGCCCTGGGGCCCAACTTGGGCCAGTGGGAGTACGTGTGGTTTACCTTCACTCAGCCCACCACAAGCTGATGTGGAGACAAAACTCCTCCAGCATCTGCCTTTTCAACTTGTGCTAGACTCTGCTCCAGGGTCAAAGGGGACCCAGATGTCAGCTCCTGCAGCTGGTCACCCACGTGCCAACCACGGAGCCTAGTCATCTTACTGAGCATGTGCTGATGCCCATAGTCTTTTCATCTCTCCTAGAAAGTGGCCTATGCCATCACCCCCGAGAAGGAGCGCGAGCTGGTGGACAGCGGGGAGGTGCGCCAGTTCACGGTAAGTGCTCATCTCCCCACCATCCCCTCAGCCAGATGCAGATGGATCTGGAGAGCAAGACACCCTTGAGCCACAGCCCTCAGAAAGCTGGTAGGCTTGTTTATTCATTCAGCAAATGCTCTCTGACACCACCTTCTGAGAACCCCTGACCTGAGGGGGGTGGGCAGCAGACAAAGTGTATCAGGCATGGGGAGAAAGAGAAGCAGAGAGGGGCAGAGCATGACTGGAGGCACACCAAGGAGGTGGCATCTAAGCAGATATCTGTGTGAAGGGAGGGGCCTGCATTTCAGGTAGGGGCACAGCACCGGGAAAGGCCCTGAGGGATGTGCAGGGCAAACTGTAAGATCAGCAAAGAACCTGCCTGCCTCACGGGGATGAGAGAGGGAGAGAAACCTGGAGCAGCCCAGGCCCCCTTGCTAGTCATCTACAGGAGGCGAGAGACCCCAGAAGGTCTGGAGCCAGGATCTGATGGAGCCCAGATCTGATGGCATTTGACAGGGTCACTCAGGCTGCTGTGTCGAGGTGGGGCTGCAGGGAGGCTGGGGAAGATAAGGGGAGGCTCCAGGTGGGAGAAAGTCATACCAGGCCTGTGGCAGGACTTATTCTTTCTCCTCGCCTTGCAGCTGGGAGCCATCTGAGCATGCGTGAGCTTCCACATGTGTTTACCACATGCTATGGAGCAGCTGCAGAAATGGTCCTAATGTGGTTGAGACAGAGTAAACCGTATGACACATTTTAACTCTCACACCCTATGACAATAGTTGTAACTCTCTGTGCCAAGAGGGGGCCCCTGAAGCACAGAGAGGCGAAGGAACACCCCAGAGTCACACAGCTGGTCAATGGGAGGTGACTTGGCACCTCTTCCACCACCTTGTGAGAAGGCCCCAGACCAGGTTAGGGCCAAATCAGGGCGCTAATGTCAGCTGTGACTGCTGAATGGCCAATCCTTCCAGGACTTGGAGGCCATACTGACTCAGAAACCATGTAAGGGGTACAATTTTAGGCAGGGGTGGGTGGGGAGGTGTATGGAGACAGAACACTTCTTACAGTTTGAAGAATAGGTGGCAGTGCAGGGTGCTATTGTTCTGGCTTTGCTTTCTTTCTCATTAATTTCTGCTTCTGTCTTTATTATTTCTTTATCTCCTGTCTTTCGGTTTACTCTGTTATACTTTTCTCAACAACTTAATTTTGACCTTGGATCACTAATAGTCAACCTTTCAGTTTTCTGATATAAGCCTTCAAGGCTATGAATTTTCCATCTCTTCCAAGGGGTCTGATTACATGTATTATGCCACTTTAATTCTCTTTTTTCTGTGTGTTTTATTCCATATGCTTTCTGTTGCTTTTTTAGTTCACTATTTGTTTCCTCTGCCATATCTAATCTGCTGATAATTCGGCAATTCGTCATCTCACACATTGTAGTTTTCTTCTCTGGAAGTTCATTTTGGGTCTTTTCACAGATTTCCTGTTTCTGCTTAACTTTTTGAGCATATAGGGTGCCGTTATAAACATGATTTTAATTTCCTTATATGCTGATTTTAACATTTGTGTCAGTTTCCATTGGTTGACTTTTCTCATTAGGGTGAATTTTGCTGCTCCTTTGCATGTCTGGTGGTTTTTAATTCAGTTCCAAATATTGTGAGTTTTACCTTGATGGGTGCTGGGTATTGTTGCATCCCTTTAAATGTTCTTGAGCTTTGCTTTGGGATGTTGTCTTAGGGACAGTGTGATCTTTTGGAGACTTGCTTTTTAAGATTAGGTGGGACCAGAGCAGCATTTTGTGTAGGGCTATTTCCTGCTACTGAAGTGAGGCCTTCGTAAGTACTGTTCCCAGTGCCCCACGAGCCTGGGATTCTCCAGCTGTGCTGGCATAGCAAGCCTGGTTCCCATCCTGGCTGCGTTTCAGAGGCTGTTCCCTCTAATCCTGTTGGGTGGCTCTGAACCCTCGGGGGGACCCTGTGCTCTCTGGCAGGAACCCAGGGCTCCTTGCGCAGGTCTCTCTAGGGCACTTCGTCCTGCAAATTCCAGCTGCCTTGGTGTCCCCAGCACCAGGGGGTTCACTGGCTGCACCAGACTCCTCTCCCCTGCAGCCATGTTCCTGGTCTCCTTACTCACGAGCTCATGGCCTGATCTTAATCTGTGGGAGTTCTGAGATGCCTCCTCAGCATGCCTTCCTCCAGAGAAGGTCACCTGCTGCTGCTACCCATGGCCAGGAGGAGGGTTGGGGATCAGAGCTGGGGTCCCAGGCATGGCCTCCCTAGCCCACTAGCTCCTTCACAGAGCACAGGGCTCTGCCAGAGCTGGTGTTACTCGTCAGTTGCTGCAGCTCCCCTAAAGCCCTTACCCCCGTGTGGGTGATGAAAGAGCCCTGCAGTGGGACCAGTGGCAGACTGAGCATCTTCCCATCCCTGTTGTGGCTGGGTCAGAAAGAAGCCCTGCATGCTCTTGTTTTGAAATGTTTAAAAAGCATGCCTCTTGCCATTTCTTGTGATCGAAATTAGGCTGAACTCCCAGCTGCATAATAGGCGATGACATTTGCAGGAAGACTAAATAGCCGTCCTGTCGATCTCACCCATCCTGAGGGGTAATGAGGCCTACTCCCGCACCTGTTGGGGTCACATAAATGACATAGAACTTCAGGGCACAGCCTTTCCCTGGGATGGACCAGAAGTCCCAGGGTAGTGGCCACAGGGTTCTGGGGACCCCAGGTGACATGCATGCTGGTGGGGGTGTCATCTGAGACCAGCCCCAGGTTTGCTTGTGTGCAGTGTTTGTCTGGCCGGCAACTAATAGTGTGCTGTCAAGTGAGCGGGCCTGTCACTGCAGCCCTGCACCCCGACTTCTCTTTGTCAAGTGGTGACTCATTTAGATGAGGTTAATAAGCATCAGGTCTAGGGTGCCTCAGGCACAGCCCCCATGAGCTTCCCAGGCTGTGTCCTCGCCATCTTCTCTGCTGAGACCTCTCACAGCTACCAGTCAGTTATAGTCCTCCAGATTCAGTTCCAAATAAACCCCGTTGTCTTCGCAGCTGCGCCACTGGCTCATGGTATAGAGGGAAGTGGAGAAGGAAGACCCTGGACAGCCGTCCCACTGTGGGAGACACAAACCAAGATGGAAAATCTGAGCTTGGGCAGGAAGGAGGGCTGCTCTGCCATTTAACTTCTGCTTCACTGGAAACACACAGGAGCTTTATCTTCTGACTTTTTACACTCTTGTGCCACGGGGAGAGGACCTGCCATCTGTCCTGTGTCGCTGTGTAACTTAGTAGTTCTGTGCCCATTCCCACAGGTAGAAAACATTGTGTTCTATTCATGTAACATGGCTCACCCAACCCTCAGCCCCTGCCCAGAGCACAGGTCTTGCTCTGTGTGCCAAAAAGAAATACACTAATTATAGGTGCACTCTGAGAGAGCCCCAATGCTCACAACAGCTTCCTGAGTCATTTATTTTGCTCATATTAAAAAATATATATATCATATTTTGCCTAATTGTACAGAAGGTGAAATGGAAAAACTACACAAAAGGTGATCAAGTGGGAGGCCTTGTGTCTCCAAGTTACACATGCAGTCTGTTCAGAGCCATCAAGGGTGAGGGTCCCGTATGTGATGGGAATGCTATTTATTTCCTTGTAGCTGTGAAAAACAAACTGTGGAATCTGTATGGCTGCACCACTCCTGTATGACGTGGGCCCCAGTCAGCTCATGGTCACCTCTCCGTAGATCCCCGGCCCCAAGAGAAAGTGTGCTCCTAGCTAGCAGGAGTGAGCTTGGTGGGCCCCAACCAAGCAGAGCCCCGAAGGCAGGCAGCCTGGAGACCCTGCCAGGGGCAGCCTTGAGCTGCAACCTTGAGAACAAGACCCCACAAGAATTTTGTTTCTCTTAGGCACACATCACATCAGTAACAACACTTTTTAAGTTAAGAAATGGCTTTTTAAAATCATATTTATCTGTGAATCAAAACTAATTCTCAGAATGCAGGGTTGGTTTCTGAAAATGTTTGCTGGTGTTTCAGTTATTGTTTGTGAGAATATTAGCAAAACCAAGTAAAGGCTCTTGGCCAAGGCCTGCTCTCCAGCACCTGGTGTCTGCCTGGAGGGAAAGCGGCCATCGGTCATCAGAATGCATCGGGCTGTTGACCATATGCTCTGGCACAGCTCTGTGCCCCAGGAAGAAGTCCTCCTGCATGTGCTGGCCTTGCAGAGCCTTCTCGGCATCCCCTGAAGTGGACTGTGGGCCCAGAGGGTCAGGGGCACGCTCTAGCCTGTCAGCTGGAGAGTGCCTGCAGTGTGGCCAAGAGGAATCGGGTCTGCCCTCTCCTCCTTTCGGGGAGCATCGAGAGCTCCATGTAGAACACTGGTGTTGTCAATGTCTGTCTGTGTCCATACTCAGCATCACCAACAATAAAAGTGTATGTGGGAAAGACGACCGGGGCTGAGTGGCCATATTTTTGCTCCACCCCGTTGTTTTTACCAGCTGGCTGCCTCAGGCTCCTAGCTTCACTCCCTCGTGAGTTCTTCACCTGGTGCCTCCCCAGCCCAGAGGGAACAAAGCCTGGGTCCTGAAGGTCTGCTGGGCTTAACCTGGACCCTACCCAGGGTCCGTGCCTGCAGGTTCCCTGGTGCCCACTGGCTCAGGCCAACCTTGCACTGTCCCGCCTGTCTCTCTCAAGCCCTCATCTGCCCCATCAGCTCCCCTGCAGGCTCCTACGTGGCCAGACACCAGCCCTGTGGTCTGACCAACGCCCCTGCCCTGGGCCAAGCTCCTCTTCCAGGGCCATGCCACCAGAGTTTTAAGTGGTTCCCTGTCCTTGGTCCCTGAGGGTCTTTCATCCATTCTGTGGCCAAAGGGGTCCTTCTAGATACCAGTCAGCTCAGGCCACAGCCTAGAGGAGAGCTCTGTGGTTTATCATTACACTTGAAATAAATGCGAATTCTGTGATCCATGTGGTCAGGCAGCCAGCCACTCCCACTGGGCTGTGGAACACGGGTCACTCCTGCCAGACCCTCCAGCCCTGCATGATTGCTTTTGCCCCAGGTCCCCAAAGAACGTGCTTATTTCCTTTGGGTTTCACTTTCCCAGAGACCATGGGACCTACACAGAGTCTACCATTTGGCTCCACCCATTTGGCCACATACTGGCGAACTGCCTCAACTGTCCAGCACTTCCAGCTACTGCTTCCCAGACCCTGGGCTGGGCACAGAACCTGCCCCAATGGGAAAAGTGAGCAGGCCTCCGCACCATTATGTCCCCTCTGCACCCTGGTCACCGGTGCCTCAGGAGCAAGCGTGGTCCTCTTTGACTACCTCTTCATGGCCTCACAGCAGTGGCCTCGTCCAGGTGCAGTACGGCACCTGCAGGTCCCTGGGACAAGTTCATGAAACAGAGGCCTGATCGTGGCCACAGCACACGCCCCCCATGGAGGCTTCTAGGCCTCACATTCCATGGTGGGGAGAACTCCCAGGAGTCAAGTTGTCCTTTCTTGCATAACCTCCCACACAGAGAGACACATGCACATGCACACACAGCACCCATCCTGCATGTGTCACTCGCATAGACATTCACATATGCTACATATGTCATAGACATACTACATACCACACCCACACCCGAACACCTGCATGTACACCTACACACAGCACACACACTATACATGCTTCACATCCCACATGAGCACGCATATGCACACACACACACTCTCACACTGGGTCCACTGCAATCAGCAGAGATCTTCATGGTGAGCTGGACACAGCCTGGGAGCTTCATGCCTCTCTGGACAGTCCCAGGGAGCGTTTCCATGGAGCCAGGCCACCCCAGAACTGCTGAGGGCTGTTGTCTCAGCAGCTGCTGGTTACAATGGGAGTTTCCTTGGTGTCCTGATCCCAAGCTTCTAGGCTGGGGGCTCTCCTAGGCAGCGAGACAGACACCCACATGCTGCCCAGAGCTGTGCCACCAATGGAAGGGACAATGGGCTTATACTATGAACACGTAAAGAATTCCTACAAATCAGACAAAGAGGGACAACCCAACAGGAAAATGAACAGGCACATAAGAGGAGGCAGGTCCAAATGGCCAACAGCCCCATGAAAAGATGCTCAACTTCATCAGTAACCCAGGACATGCAGGGCAAGCCATGATGCAACTCCACCTTGGCCCGCCACACCAGGCCAGCTGGAGAGGTCAGACACTCCCACATCGATGAGCAGGCCAGGCAATGGGAACTCTAACACATTTCAGGCATGAGAGTAAATTATATGCGACCTAGAAAGTATTGTGTGTCTGCGAGGTTGAACCACAGTAGCAGACCCTGCAAGCTCTCCATCTGGCATGTAGGATTTCTTTTGCCATCAGGTGTGGCCCCTGCTGCAGGTGCACACAGCTCACACATGGAACCACCCTGGGGACTGCCTGGGTGACTGGGCCCCTCACCAGGAGACTCCTGGGGCTTGGGCTTAGGCCGGCCCAGGGATGGGGATTCCAATTGCACAACACTGACCATGTGCAAAAGCCCTGACCTGGTCCGAGATGGGTCTGTGCCCCAGAGCGCCCTGGGGACAGGCTGGGCTTGGCTGCTCCAGAAACCGTGCCCATTCTTAGCCTTTCTCCCCCTTACTCCATTTCCTTCCCATTTTCTCCTGAGAGCCCCCCTCTGCTGAATCAGGGAACCCTCATTTCAGGCTCTGCTTCTCAGGGGTTCCAGCCTAAAGAGAAGTATATCCCCAAACACAACAATTCCACCTCCAACCATGTGCCCAGAACACGCACACACCTGTTCTGTCACATCACACTTGTGAGAGTTCATGAACAGATCATGGGAAACTATAGGATCGATGGTGAACATGGGGCGAGTACATTTCAGCCTGTAAGGGAGGGCCTATTAGCAGATGGCATTGACTTATGGGGGACACTAGAGATTAACTTCTGTGCCCCAGCAGATTCAGTGAAGTCCTGACACCCAGCACCTCATTGGAAGTCTATCGTTACTACTATGTTAGTGCAGTATCAGAGAGTATAGGAGAGCATTCGAACGTAGCATGAGAGGAGATATGAGAGCATTAGAGGACAGATAGTGTTAGAGTTCCTGTTGCTCTACAAACTCACTAACGCAAGGAGCTTTCATCTTTTAAATGTTAGCTGTTGTGGATGGGCAGTGGTCTTCCCACACGGGAAATATATTTAATGGAATGTAATTAGTTAAAATGAGGTCATACTGGAGTGGGGAAGGCTTAATCCAATATGACTGGTAACCTTATAAAATGAGGAGAGAGATACAGAGACTCAGTGGGGAGAAGGCCGTGTGATGACCACGGGAGAGATGGGCAAGGGAGAGTGAGGCAGCTACAAACCCATAAAGCCTAAGATCACCAGTTACCTCCAGAAGCTCGGAGAGAGACATGGAACAGACTGTCTCAGGGCCTTGTGCAAGGAACCAGCCCTTCCAACAGATTGATTTCAGACTCAGACCCCAGAACTGTGGAGTAAAAACAGTAAATTTTTTAAAGGTAAATAAAATAAATTTCTGTTGTTTTAAGCCCCCCACCCCACCCAGGTTGTGGTACTTTGTTACAGCAGCCTCAGGAAACTAATACAGGTGAACCTGCTTGGGATATCAGAGAGAGAAAGGGTCCACCCTGAATGGAATTCAGGTGCCTGAGACCACACTCCAGGCTCCAGCCTCATTAGACACATCTCTAAATTCCTGAGCCTCCCACTTGTTCCCTGTCTAGAACAATCTCCTTTCCACTCTCATCCCCCATTTTCCAACCACTGACTCCTAATACCATTCTAGCTTCTCTTGGACATCACCTCTGGAAGCCTGCACCCACCCCTACTTCTGGGTTCTGGCCCCTGGTCAATGCTCCCTGAATGCCCACTCTTCCCAGGTGTCCCATGAAAAGGTGAGTGCTCCTCGTCTCTCCTCCCAGTTGGCTGGGAGCTCCCCTGGGAGCAGGGCCTGAGTTGGTTCCATTCACTTCTACCAGTGTCTTGTGTAGTCCCAATACATGGTGGACAGTGTCACTTATATATTTGCAGATGGATGAGTTAGTGGTTGGGTATTTAGATGAACAAGTGAATGAATGAATACGTGGATATTTGGTGGAGGGGTGGATGAAAGGAGGAAGGAGAAAAAGGAGGGAGGGAGAGAGGAAGGGTAGAAGAATGGACGGGGTGGGGGATGATGGATTATGAATGGCTAGATGATGGAAGGATGGAGGGATGGGTGGATGGGTATGTGGATGGGTGGTTGATGGGCAGGTGGCTGGGTTGATGGATGGATGACAAATGGATGGATGGATGGATGGTGGAAAGAAGGATAATACATGGGGGGGTAGGTAGAGGGGTAGTTGGTTGGATAAACAGGTAGGTGGATGGGTGGAAGTTCCTGTATTACATCTGAAATTCTGTTATTCTGGTGCAATATAAGATCCCCCCTGTGGGGCTAGACATAGGAATGCTGTATTTGTCATGTGTTCTCCAAGTAGGCATCAGGCTCTTTAATACTGTCCATTTCCAAGCACCTGAAGGAGTGTATTCCTCTCATGCCAACATGTGTAGAGACCAAGGTCCCTGGGAGGGAGACCTGCCTGTGCTCCCCAATTCTGTCGACTGGGAGGTCTCGGCCCTCTGTCCACCTTGCACTTTACCGCCTCATTTACGCTGTTTGCCAAGTGACCTTTAGACACAAAATCTTCAAGTTAAATCCAGAGAAGCCCTGTGATTTTCCTTTGAGAGAAGCATTTTAATTTAAGGTTCAGCAACAGTGAAATGGGTGATTTAAAGGGTAAACAGATTCCTCTGCATTTGCCTTTTTTGCTTTTTACTCTGCAATCCTCCTGTAATCTTTAGAGATGCATCTGACCAGCCCAAAGTTCATGGCCTT